TAAACGACAAAGAACAGGCCAGATTTCAACACACTCGGTCAAGACCCCATTCAATTCAACGGCGTCCCACAAACATTGGCTGCATCGGCTACAACTTATCAAACGAAGAACTCGATAAGTCTCATACTTCTTTTGTCCATTATTCAGTTGTAATTTATGTCTCTGGTAGCCACTATACATAACTGTTTATTGTTAGTGCTATTTCACCTTCTGATATTACTTCGAGTAAAAAGACAATAGCACCTACATACTCAGCTGACTGGTTTATTCAACCGTTATGGCTCTAAAGTGAAACTCATACCTAAATACCATAGGAGTGAAATTCACTATTGATACGAATGGAAACAAATGGATACAACTGTTAAGGGTGAAATCGCCGTGATTACGGGAAACGGTAATGTGCTCAAATAGAGTGCGACAACCAGATGTATTGAAAAGCAAACATGCACTTGATTAGGATATCAAAATCAATAGGAGACGACAATGGTGACCGTTTATACATAGCGTGCTGTTCAGAAGAGGTATTTTCCTTCAATCATCACAAGCTACAGACCGTAATTATGAGCCCAGTTTAGTAGCACATTCAGCACGATTCATTTTGTTGTCGTTTGATTCAACTATCTCGACCTACCTAACCGGAACAACATGTGAACTGAAACAGGGTCTTAATCAGCAAATCTCAAAAACTGTGCACCACGTGCAACATGATAATGTTGTGCCTTTCAATCAAGCCGAGCCGACATCACTGATTCCAGGGCCTGCTTCTAAGTGTGTAATGATACTTTTATGATAGCTACCCCTCCATAATTGTTTGGAGAAAAAACACAGCCACCATGGCTTGTCTACGTCACTGCAACACACAAAGGCCTCAAAAATCGCAATCCACTGTCGCTGAAGTGAATAATAACAACAAATACAGCTGATCGATCCCAGTAGCATGCATCACGTTCGTGACTCGTACTCTAGACACGAAAATTCTACGAAAGCCTAATTACAGGTCGAAAACCAATTCACTAAGACCCTTCTGCCATTGAATGCTTCCTATTTACTTGCCATTGCAATTCATTTCCTACAACTCCCTCGAAAATAAGGCAATAATTCGTAAAATTTCTTTCAGCCAATTCGGATCTTCAATCGAAATCGTCCGTTTGTCTCTACATTCAATCAATCACGATTGCAATATTTCAACAAAAAGACCTGAATTCTCCATTCCTCGATGCAAGGAAAACCTGACACTCTCCGCATGATATTTTCGGGTTGTTGATGTTCGTGGATCAGACGTTTCCTTATCCGTTACTCTAAAAATAGTTCAATCGCTGAAGACCTTACTTACGCTCGATTAGCGAAGTTTAATAATCTAACGGTAATTTGCAAGAAATCTAAGCAAAAACGCCGATTTTGGCAGCAGTCTTTTGCATGTTGCAGATATACGCCCTGGGCCACCAAGTATAGCAAGCGGATTGTCATCGATTGTTATCTTCAGATGCTGGATTACTGAACCTAGTAACAACGCAGATGATGGGGACAAAAGACATCGGCGGACTCAGATTCCATCCTGCTCCATAAGATGCTCAGTTCCGGATGTAGTACGAAATTTATCAAATGACACTCAAGCCACAACGCCGGTCATGTGAAAGACAGACATCTGTGCACTCTTTGTAATGCTCATGGTGATAGCGTAACGGAGACCGCTTCCGCAACGTCATACTACCAATTCGTTCTAAGGTAATCCCCTTTTAAGAAATATGGCCACTGAACAACGCACTCGTATGTCTGCCTCAATAGTATTGATGGCGTTTTAGCAAATCATTGAGAACTGGATGAAGCACCGCTATCGGCCAACTCAAGATGACCTGTTGGTCGGATTGACGGAAAAACGTGATTTAGTACACCTCCAAACACTTCATTAAAACAACCCGTTTTGATTGTAACCAGTTAAGAGACCATGAAATGGCCGATCTAGTCAAGGAAGAAAATGAGTGATAATGCCGGTGAAAGAAGGCCGACGCAACCAAGGGACCGGTTGTCAAGGTAACTGAAATGACAAAAATATTGTCATTCTTCCAAGGGAGGTCGTGATTTTGAGAGGTTGTGGATTAACCAGGAAATTGGTGAAGAATTGATTCGCATTGGCTGAGGAGGAACAGTAGTTTAGTTTCGCCTTGCATTGGAACTTCACTCTAATTTAACACAATCGCCGAAATGAGCGCGCATGCCACTAACGACTAAGCCATACATCCAAAAATCATGCTTGTGGATACCTGAATCGTGTGCATTTCTGTTCCACTTAAAAGACAAGAACTGATCACACACCTGACTTTAATTAAGATAAATAAATCGCAGTTCAACATGTTAAGCAACGCATATTTACGACATGAATTCCTTTATTTATGAAGGAATTGACAACCACACATGTTCCGAGGAAAGAAACACCGCACTCGAGAACGACTCGCAACCGACTGAGAAGTCGGCGTTCCCGGAAACTGTGGCGAACAGCCGGGCGGCGTTCCCCTATTCATACAACGACTAGATTAGAGCAACTGAGCAGGTAATGTTAGTTGAGTTTTGAGAAAAGTAGAAACTAATTGGTTTAATCTAATTCTAATGGCAGATGGTCTATGCAAAAAGATGAAACGACGGAGATGTTGGAGAAAGTATAAACTGGAAACGCTTGGCATAAAAGAACAACCAGAACTAGATGTCAGACGCTAGTAAAAGACCAACGATGACACAGACGTAGAACCCGGAGACGGTCCTACGATTCGCGCCGTAAGGACTTACGGAAATCGACACCTTGTGTAAATGGAACGAGTTTGGAGCCTTGTGGAGAGAACTTAGCACATTCGGGTTGACACGCAACGACAAATTGGACCACACAACATTCATGCATGCACACTGACTGGCGAAGCCCTTACCGGGAAACCGACATAACGATTGTCCGGAAACGACGTTGTGGCTTGGTTCTCGATCTACCTTAAGGATGAATCAGCCGCACAATTTTGGCATCGAATACGGAAGACTAAATTGCAATAAACCCACCGACCGTTTTCCAAACTTCTATGGAAAGGCACTCCTCTTACGTGATCCAGATAGCTATTGAGAAACAATCTGCAACTAGAAAACCTTTTGCACACTTGTTCTAGCTTTGTTCAGCAAACATATGCGAGAATGTCAGAGAAAGATCTGTAAAATTGCATAACTTGACATTTCTCGAGCAACCAGTAAACCTGTATGTTTGCCTGTGACAATGTCTACGACGAAAGTCCTTGTGGTACAAAACCACTCATTTAAGCTCGCATATGAATTGAAATGCATCCCAAAAAGTGGAATTTTAGTGGAGAGATATACTTACCTGATCTATTCAGATCAATTAGGCTGCGTCCACGACTCACATCGTGTAAGCTCTTTCCTGTATCTTGCTCCAGTTGGATACGTCTGATTCGCGCACGAGACAGTAGATAGGGGTCCCCATTGTCATTCCGCACAACTTTTGTGGCTACGCACTTTTCAGCTTCATCCGTTGAATCAGGCAGATACCATAAGTAATCTAGATAGCCGTCCTGAGCTACGGGTTGCCAATACTGGGTGATCTGGTAGCCCGCGGGCGAATCGGAATAAAAGTAGTGTTTCCGATCGAACTGAGAAGTCAAGTTAACACGACATTGGAGCGCCAAAGCAATAAGTATTGCCTTCTCCACACATCTTCGATTCAACCTCTACAAAGTGCGTAAAATACGATGCACATCACCCTTGTTCTGAAGCCAAGAAATCATTTCAAAATCAAATCCACTGTCCTCAGCGGCAACAAAACAAAACGTCCAAGCCGAGGCCGGCGTGCATGAACACATCAGTGACTTTCCAGCTGAAAATCTGACAGTCTAGACATAGATAGCGTGCTAAAGTGAATAAATGTGTGTGATAAGTGTGACAGATGCTTTAGAGCCCAGTGTTCAATTTCAGTGAAGTACATTCTGTGGTCTGGACTGTGGTGGTGGAACACTACCGAAATCACCAAAGTATAATCCTATCAATCTTCACACACATGTGATTTAGGCGGTTGCATTGACGTCACGAAAACGAAAACAATTTATCATATAGCTGACCACTGTGCGCTCACGGCCATCCATTACGTCTAGTCAGCTATCGGAAAGTAATCGCGTAACACCTGAGTTACTGAAACTAAGCTGATTTCCAGGGTTGCAAATCGCCTCTTCCCAGTTTGGCATTTTTGTGTAAAAAAGAACAGTTGTCGAGGCGTGGTTGATTATCATCAGCTGTTTGCTTTTAGGGTCGAGCTGTTTATCCTAACATATTACGGATCATCTGATGGCTATCATCATAACCTTGGTTGAACAATTAACTCACCTGAATACTCAGTCATTCCAAATCACTCCCTTTAAATCAAACACTTTGGTCAAGCAAGTGTGTTCTGCAGGAGAAAGTGCCTCCAAAGATTACTCATTTTTATTGGGTAAGAGAATTTGCGTCAGTATTACCAGTGCCTGTACTGGTTAGCAGACTATCCTATCCACAGCGGACAAACTGACCACGGGCGTCCGACCAATACTCGTAGTCGATTATACCTGTTGTACTTCACAAGGGGAAGGCATCTATCCAGTTACAACGTCAAATGCATCAGCTATTAAAAGCCCGGTGACAAGGCTTGTGTCTGCAAATGTTTTCTAATGAAAGAGCAGTCCCAACACGTGCATGCTAAGGTAAACACACACTGCACTAGTACCATCAAATCATCTGTCGAGATGTACTAAACTGAGGACAGACTGAAACCGGCCTTGTCAGTCATTTCTGCTTGACCACGTTGCTTCCAGATGGAGGCACAAAATGTGCGACCCCATTGGATACATGCAGGCCAATGTGACACTGACGAGCCTAGATGTATCTATTGACTAGCTTTGCCCCGAGTAAGGTCCATCAGGGAGGTTCTGAGGAACGTCATGAAAAGCTCAGTAAAATAGGTGACCACGCCAATGTATTACGAAATGCATACCGGTAAACTTCCCGGTATAGCAGCATCCAGCAGATCCAGTTGGGTATTCGGGGGCGCTCCGAAGCTATACGGAGTGCGGGAGAATAACTTTGTCTGACTTGAAAGTTGCGCGTGAATTTCCAGTCCAATCAAGGGCACAAGGGATTGTTCAGTTGTGTGTGCCTTCCCTTTGAATTGTAATGCTATGGAGTGATAACGGGAGACCAAAACAGATCTGACTACATGGAGAAGCGTTGGCCAACGGGCTAGAATATGGCGCATCTGTCCTGAAAAAGAGAAGGCAATGATTGCTAAGTTTTGAAAGTACATTACACTCCAAGTGCTATGCATCCACTCACCATGATTAAGGTCCTCACCTATCCACAAAAAATTAGTATATCTGAGGGCGAATTACTGCGTTGTCCTAAAGAAAACAGTTGTGTTGTACCTAAGCATCTATGCAACCCTTTCAACTTGTTCTACTTGGGTTCAGCTGAGCTAACAGTAAAATTCGTATTCAAATGACAGAATATCGACTGAAATCCGAGAACTACATTTACCTAATGAGCCATAGGACCAGTGGTGGGCTTTCGGTGAATTTCGGTCAAACTTGCCGTACTATGGTGAACAATTTAACGATCTGCTGGATACTGGCCTAAACGGTCCCCAAGTAGCTCATGTGAACCTCGTGGTTCTGGTAATTTACCATACAAACTCATGAGTAGTGATTCATTCGGGAAAATTGGTTTGCTTTGGGTCACTAGCCACTAGAAGCTACCAAATAAATTTACGCAACTGGCTGTTTCCCTAGCTCTCAGCAGCACACCTGATGTTGTAGAAATAAAAACAACTTTTAAAATGTTACCAAAACGATTGCACGAGTCACCCAAAAACCAGAAATCTCGGCCCGAAGATATTGCTAAAAACTGCAACGACAAGATCGCCACTTCTCATTGAACTCGATCTTTGAATCAAAGTGCTTCTACGGAAAATTTACCCGCCATGGCCCGAGTTTGCAACAGCTCTGGTCAACTATAGTGAGATTTTGCCGGTTAGTGCCGTGCAAATGAACGTAGCTAGCGACCCTGAACTTCATACATGAAAAGTGCATCGAGCGCTGTATCCCGGTGGATCAAACCAATATGGGTAAAGCTTTTATTGGGCTGAGATACCCAAGATGCTGAAAAGTCCCGACAACACAGGGTTAACTAGGCCCCAGGTCCACCCTCCATTGAAAAGTGTTGGAACATCGGTGGCTAGGGTGCATGTATTGGTAGTTGGTCTATTCACCGAGCCTGACCATTCACTTGCGAAATGACCTTAATGATATTTAAGAGCTAAATAAGCGCAAGCACGAAGGGAAGAACTATCCACCCAACCGAGCAGTGAGGTCCCCTTGTATAGTGAGAAACGTATTAAAGTCAATTGGGATGTTCAGTGAAGGGATAAAGAGCCACTTGATCAACCACCTAACCTCGAGCCCGACCATTCAGATGTGATTATTCAGTAGCGCGGAGCAGTGAAAATGCATTCGCCTTGCATGTCAGATATTATGGGTTCAAACAAAGATGCCTTCAAGGAAATGCAGTGCTGATAAGCTCCAATCGCACCGAGGATTTCGGCTACGTTGATCCGGTAGCTTACGATCGTGCCATTAGTAAATAAACTCGCCTGATTATATTATCGGAAGTAATCATTTATCTCCAATGTCGAGAGTCCAACAGCTTTTAGTCGTTAAATATAGTTAACTACTGTAGCGCTGGATAACCGCGACCAGAGGCTATCCAAACCAAGTTAGATGAATTCAAAAACCCAGTCAATCTAACGTTCGGAAACTATTCAGTTGGACTTTCAAAATTCAAGAAAATTATTCGCGGTTTTCGCATACTATTTCGCATGCGGTTATCCAGGAGGGTTATGCTGTACGAATTTGAACGCAGATATCTGAGAATAGCCGAACGAATTCCAGTGAACCGTGGAACGAACACACCAGCCCTCGTTGCTAGAGGGCCGCAATTGAGCCAGTGGCTTATGAGACGTTTCATGACTTGTCACGCTTTAAAAAATGTACGCTGACAAGACTTAACATGTGACTTCGTTGGTTGGTAGCAAATTCCTCTACACACGTTTTCGATTTGCTCATGTGATAGCAAGGATTTGGACCTGAGACAGAAGTGCACGAAGTTTGTTGAATTCCAAACGTGGTATAACCGAGGCTATTGCCCGGCAGAAGAAACAAGCAGAAGCGTCCAAAGTGAAGAGGCATGTAAGAAACTGATAAGACTGTTTCTTGAAATAAAGACCCGATACACGAAAACAACCGGAAGCACTAGCCTATTAAAACTATTAGCGAAACACACTTTGAGTCCGAATAGGACACTCCATCTCTGTTGGGGAGATCCACGAAACATACACTCTGAAAGAGACAACTTTCGTGGGCTAATTTTTTCGCGCTGGAAAAATCCCTCAGTAACACCGCAGGAAACACTGGCTCCATATAGAGACAACGGACACGAACACCATATGGGCATTATAGAGGGCGAGCCACAGGATCTTCTGCAAAGAGCGCTGCTTCAGTAAATCAGATTGTCGCAGTTCATAGGTTACGCTGGTTAAACCGTATGCCAGATTACGGTTCCCCTCGCAAATACCTTTCGTCCAGCCTTGTATAGGATGGAGATAATCCAGGGCTTAGCAAAGGAGTATAAAGGCCCTCACCAATCAAGTAAATCGCTTTGGTAACTGTCGTCGTTCCGGATGAGGACCCCGGGACGAGACAAACTAACGGTCAGTAACTTTGAGAAATGGCCGTCATAACCAATCGTGAACATGAGTCCAAGCTACTGCCTTCAATGCGTAGCTCCCACTCTTTGCCATATAGCACAGAAAGAACAAGTTAACGTAAATGCACTTTGATGTGTTTTTTATAAACGAAGTACTGGCCTGGACAAAGAACAGAAGTAAAACAGGACGAAATCTCAACCGGACATTCCAAGAATTCCAGGAACAAACCTCAATCACTCGTATTTCGAGTAGATCTTGTTCACCTCACTACGTGAGGCGTAATGGATCCAGTTTTACGGGTTCAAGGGCAGACAAGAACCAATGATCTGTTCAAAGCTGAGCGCAGATCATATTGTTTGGTAATCCAGTCTTGTCATCAGAGTGGATTCTCTGACGACTGCTATACGGAACCGCCTTTCTCAAAAAGATCAAGGTCCCGGCATAGTCTGGATAGCGTGGTTAACAGTCGGCCCCAACAGTGAGCTTCAAGATGCCCGCCCACAGCGTAAAGCCCAAAATTCGATAGCATCACACTTGCGGAATAACTGTTACCCCAGAGAATAACCAGCGACCGGTGCTCAGAGATCTACAAGGACTGTGGTTTAATGCGGGTTTGTATGGAGCGAAACTTTAATTAAACCTGAGATACGATAGTTATAATGGGAAATGGAGAAAAATCGTGACAAGAAGTTAACACGTAGCTCAGATGAATTGTTATATAAGAGGATGGTGCTATCGTTTCAGAAGAGCTTGGTAAACAATAAGTAGTTTTCAACTTGTGTTATCTGGCTTAAAATTGGATTCTGACAAACGCCAGCAACCACCGAAGTATTGATCACCTGACACTCCTAACCTCAGCAACATGTTACTCCTGAAACACGGTTGCGTCAACTCTAACCAAAGCTTCGGTCCTGAATTGACAAGAACTACTGACTTCAAGGTAACACTAATAGTAATGTTATATTCTATGGGCAATATCACCACAGCGCTGACCAGCTACCCATGACCAAAAGGTGCAGTTTTCAACCAACGGCAAGGATGTGTTTTCTAATCTATGCAGAGAGGCGCGGGATGTGAATTTCTGATGATTACCGATAGGGACGAAACAGCTGGGCCTTGCAGAATGAAAGCTCTATCGGAAAACACCATATGACTAGCGTCTCTGTTTGACCGAATATGTCCACTAGTTGCGTTCGAGTTTGTCCCAGGATGCAAGAAGAAGGTCAACATTAGGGGAAGGACCCACAGGTCAAGCTGAACACACGGACTAATAAAAGTAAATCCGAGAAAAGCAGCAATGTATATTCATTTTAAAAATAAAACTTAAAAAACTAAAGCAAGTTAGAAAAGACAGGTCGCGAGTTTCAAAACGAATGCGAAAAAACAAGAAGCCATAGGAAGGAGAGCAAACACAGTTCGGCTCGCTCAGGTGCTGACTATCGACCGAGCGATTAGCTCCTTCATGATCTCATTTGTTCCACCATAGATAGTTTGTAAACGAGCATCCACGAAGGATTTGCAAACCGGATATTCCCACATATAACCCCAACCACCATGCAACTGGACACCATCATAGGCAACCTGATTCGCTACGTCACTGGCCCAGTATTTGGCCATGGATGCCATTTCTGTGTCCAGGCGACCCTGATTCAATAACTCTAGACACTGATCCACGAACGCGCGGGAAACACAGAGTTTGGTTTTCATTTCGGCCAATTTGTGTTGAACAGTCTGAGAGAGAGAGAAAGACCGAAAGAAATAGTGACAATGAATGAAGGACTACTTGAGACGAAAATCGTTTGGTTTTCTGACGGTGCTTTTTTAACACAAAAGAAATGAACGATTGAATTTTTGGAGGCCACTCAAACAGAACTATCACGATATAGTTCGCAGGACGGTTTATCAGAATGAAACGAATTTTCGGGTTGAGTTCAGTTCATAAATCACGAGATACGTTCAAGTATAGCTAAATCGATCAGAAGTGGATTAAGGAGGGTGGATTTGAGAACTGAATCCGAGCATGGAAAAACTAGAATGTGAAACGGAGTTAGGTGAACGCTAGTGGGTGAAAGCATGATCTGAAGGGAGATTAACGTTCTCCAAAATGTGACAGCCCAATCTAAAGCTGTCACCCTGCTAGACTGATGGGGCTACGGTGATGCAGTCATCTTATGGGCTACACTGGCTGGAAATCGGTTCCATAAAGTTCAGCCATACCAGTGTAACAGTGATACTACTGATGGGGAGGCACGCGAGTATTATGTGTTGTTCGTGGAATTTCGCTTTGCGCCTTTTGAAAAGGAGAGATCTATTGCGGAATTCGTGGAGTCACTTTGTAACATTTGCTTGGATTTGAGCGAGGAATGATTGGGGTCAATGAATCTCCAGGAAAGCTCAAGAAGACGCGTTCCGGAGATGGATGTCCAGTTTTTGTAAACAAGATGCAAATTAGAGTTTTGCTTCCCTGTCCATTGGTCTGTAACCGGTCCGTTGGCAGTTCCTAATAAACAACTCCGCAGCGAAGGCCTTCTTCCTTTCACGAGGAAGGCCAACGAGGAGCAGCCCAGCGAGTTCCTCTACTGTGAGAAATCGTATTACGGGATGGTCTGCAACCAAAATTGTATTGTCACCGAACTGAACTGTTGCACAAGTGGCGACTCACTCAGTGCCGGTCTCGTCACCTGTGAATTGGTTAGGATGGGTTGTGAATGTAGGTCACAAGACAGCTGATTCGGAAATCCATGTTTTGAAGAGCACGTTGTTCCCTGGATTCGTTTAGCTGCGGAAAGATATTGAGATTCTTAGCTGAAGAATGAGGTGGCGCTTTTTTATGACCTTGAAACAACACCCGATAATCCATTTGAACTGAGTACGGTCTACAGGTCTATAAGTAATAAAATCGAGAGAAGGTTTGTTCACATTCAGGAGGCTAACTTTGATGAACTGACGAAGCAGGTATAAATGTTTCTCGCGAAGGTCTTCTTTTTGCATAAGAGGAAACTACTTTGTTTGCAAGAAGTGTGGGTTGTCACACATCAGGAATTTCTCCAAGCAACGCAAACAAAAAAGACTGCGTAGTCCTGTGCAGATCATTATCATCAATGCTACTGGGTAGGAACGTCTGCTGAGGTGAAGCCCATTACTTCTACTCAGCCTACTTGGCCAGGTTCCCAAGAGCCTCGTCAAAGCTATCGCTTGTAAGAAATTGGACGAACGTTACCGGCTGAGTGAAGGTGATTTTTTTTCATATCTCCTCCACTGGAAGAGATAAAAATAAAACTAAGGGAACCAGGTACATCGACGTTTACCTGTTGTTTTCATCGATTTTGTTTGTTCTTAATGTCTGAACCAAGGAAAAGGACGTCAGAAAGGTCACTTGTTCCAGCATACTGTTCTGATGTGATGTGGAGAACAGTTCAGATGACTGATGAAGCCCACGATGGTTACCGTAGAGTAGGGAAACACCTATTTTCCGTGATAAATAGATTAACGACAGAATATCGGACTGAAGCCTGATCAGTAAATAACCTTTGTGGATTAACAGTGTAGTTTTCTCTCGTCCTAAGATTAGTCGAAGTTATACTTCGGTTGACAGGATAATGTTAACATTTCTTAGAAGAAAGCTGAGTACGAAAGAATGCGGGTTAGGAGGAGCATACTGTTCAACAGACAGGATGAACGCTTTAGAAATATGGCTAGTCCCCAATGCAGGGATATGGTGCTAAGGAGGCCAAAAGATAAACGAGAATAATTACCTGAAGACCAGATAGTGTTTGACCGAAGGCTTTGCGGGACTTGACATACGACCTAGTCTCTTCAAACACGAATTCACCAAGGGCCTGGGACAACAACGCGATTATGAGCCGCTCTTGTGGAAGTTCACGCATGAGCATGTAAAACCCATGGTTCTCTTTCCCTAACAAGTGACTGCTTGGGACTCGAACATCCTCGAAAAACAGCTCGGCAGTGTCTTGAGCCTGAGTAAAAGAGGGATGAAATATAACATACTGAAAAACAACGCAAAACAAGAACAACATCCAGAATACGATGTAATCAACAAGTGAGCTCAGTGCACTCAATCAGCGAACTCATTACCCATAGGACAGCTTCCGTCAGGGTCCTCCGCCTCTGTTTGGGCGTGTTGGTGCAACAATGCCCATGATTCAATCTTGTAGACTTTTGAGATGATGAAAAAAAGGGTGTAGAAGCAATAACTCTCTTCGTATGGACCAACCAACTAAACTGATAGATTTACATTTGTTCGGCAAAGTACCGTGGGATATTAATATTACCCACTCGTTAACTGAGAAAAATTGATTTGAAATCTACAAGGACTGGGACCACAAACTACACAAAAAATTTATATATTGACAGAAACATCCGAGGTACAACCTTCAAATCAGGCCCCAAGGTTGAGCCGTGATATAAGACGGAAATTAGGACTGGAGGTCACAAGCATGATAAGTTGCCTAGCCGTCAACAAAAAGTTAGATAGTTTCAGCATCTGAACAGTTCAGTCTCTGACCGATATTGAATGGATATGAATAGGGCTATCAATTTTATGTGGACAGTTCGTTCACGCTCGGATGGCCACTAATGAAACTAAAGATAGACTTTGGGAAATACACTCATTTGCAAATCTATTTGGTTTTCACGAAAGACTTAACTGAATCTATCGTTTATGGTATTCTACAACTGAATGAGATTCAGCTGAGTCTCTCGTGAAAACCTAATTGATTTGCAAATGAGTGTATTTGTCGAACTCAGTCCAATTCGGGTTCAAGTAGAACATAAGGTTGACGGAAACTCGGAGACTGTACCTACCTGATGAGCCCCAAGAAGGGCGAAACCGGTCGTTGGCTGTCGGAGAGGTTTCAGCAACCTTGTGAGTTGTTCCCTTTATGAAAAGATAGACTCTGATTTCACTGGTGATCATAAATCCAGCGGAGAAGATGCAAGGTGCAAGGGTCTAGGGGACACCGGTGAAAAGGTGGGCAAACGGATTGATATGGAAAGGCGATCGATCATTGCCTTCAGGGAACATACAAGACCTGTGTGCATTGAAACTGCAGCAGTGAATTCCGACGAAAATGTCGTACCTTAAAACCCATTTTATGCAGCTTCCGGCCTTTGGAAAATCCTGCCATCCCTTCTTCGACCAGAAACAAGCTGATCCCATGAGCTCGGGATTTAGCATCCGGATCGGTAACTGCAACTAAAATGACCACATCAGCCATATACCCGTTGGTGATGAACACTTTGGAGCCATTCAGTATCCAATCATTGCCATCACGTTTTGCGGTGGTGCGAATGCCTTGCAGATCACTGCACAGAAAAATGTTAAACGGCGCATAATGTAGTTGTTGTCCCGGTCACTTACTCGCAAAAGGAAAACACACAAATACGTTCAGAAAGAATTTAGACAATCCAAAGAACAAAGGAATATGGAACGACTGACCTCCCGGCTGAAGGTTCTGTCATCGCGATTGCTCCAATCACTTCACCCTTTGTCATTCGAGGTATGAAAATTTTCTTCTGCTCTGGTGTCCCATAATGACTGATGTAGGGCATCACGATATCAGAATGAAGGGCGAATCCCGGGCCACTGCAGTTGGCGTAGCAGCTACAATGATAAAGCGTAAGAAAGCCAAGTAGAGCTTGCGGTTACAGGAACACGTTACAAGGCAATACAGTTAACCAACAACCGCCCAAACTCTGTACAAAATGAGCGGATCAATCACCGGAGTGATTCACAGTGTAGACTTGATGGTGGACTCAGATCAAGGTCATTCAATCAGCAACACAGATAAACAATCAGGACACTGTAAAAAGCGGCCTGCCGACACAAACAACCCGTGAAACCAGTCAGGAGCTGGGCCCACGATAGCCCAGAGAATTCGAACAACGAATACAGAACACCGTTTAGCAAGACTGTGAACTGACAGAAACCCAGTAGTTTCGCCTGGTGACGCGAGAGCAACAAATGGGATATATACTGGAGAACCGGGGCAGTTTGCTCTAACCAGTTCTAACCTTGGCTCCTGAACACGTGATTTGAAAGAGAACGCTGCAAAACTCACAGTTCTTCCACGATGATGGCAGCACTCAAAATGTCACCACCATGTCCACCGTCTGACTCTGGAATTGCAATCCCCAAGAGACCGTCTTGACCAGCTTGTAACCAAGTCTATAGAGGTTGAATTCTAAAAGAACACGTTTCACTCAGCTTACCTCGCGATCAATTTGACCCTGTAATTCCCATCTGACAAAGGTATAAAAATGAGTCCAGCAATAGCCCACACTACTTTTCATGTTTTGGCACGATGTGCTCCTTCACAAACTTTCTTACAGTTGCCCGAAATATGTCGTGTTCTTCGGAGAATATGCGACGTGTTCCAATGTCCATCATAGAACTGGCTTGCGCGCTTTCTGGTCGAGAGGAATATCTGTACATCCACCAAATTTGCCAACATGCCATTTAACTCACCTGTTTACGAATGTTCGCAACAGCTTGTATGGATGCAAAAAGCATCGGGACATGTTGTAGATTAGTGTAACGAATAGGCGCGATTCTGAAAGTGGTCAAATTGATAATGCATACGAAAAAAACGTTAAAAACAGGTGATACTAAAAACGATTATCAGATCAGTGCACCCCTTGTTGGAAGAAACAATTATACGAGAATAAGTGTTTGTACTGTCATGATTTGGAGCACATGGTGCTACCTGGATGCGGTCATTTGATTGTGAAAAAATGCACCGCTGCCAGTGAAATACCAAAATGAATATACGGTCAGAAAGTACCCAAGCACCTAACACCAGTCCGTCTTGCTTGTTACACGAACCCTTTGAGACCTATGTTTATTCCTTACTGGTATTCGACCCCTGTCGCTGCAGTGCGATCAAGAATATTAATAATAATTAATAATAGTTAATAATAAATAATAATAATGATAATCGTTCAGTGTGACATCCTTTCGGTGCCTAGATGCCAAGTCACCCGAAGGAAGCACAAGGGCTGGGATACTACCAGGTTACCCATGCCTAGATAGAGGAAGTTGAGATGCAGAGGTCGGGTTCGAACCATGAATCTTCCGGCCATTAAATTCGCGCTCTACCCACGGAGTAATATCGCCCCACTAGATCGGCAGCTTCCGACTCAATTCACTAATAGCACCACAGTGATGCCAAGTATCCGACATCCAATCTATCTTTTGGATTTCCTGCTGATATACTGAACTGATCGCTACTTCGAATATTCCTCTCGTTGGAGATGCAGTGCAGTGGCACTAGGACATCGGCGTCTGATCAGTAGACGGCTAACTGGCTGAACTCTGCCACAATGAATTAGTAAGCATTTCTTCAAAATAGTCCACTTCGTTTACGTAATAAACGGTTGAAACCGGGTTCGTTCACACTTCTCTACACTCTACAAATTTACGCTTAGTGTTCCGTTTGCCCTGGTTAGTGATTATATTAACTTCAGTTAGCACGATTCTTGATTTTTGCAATGTGTTTTATCCCACTCCTTCGTTACATTTTGACAAAGGTGCAACAATCGTTGCAACTGCGTCAAATGGTTCCATGTTATACCTAATGTCTGCATTTTGTGTGGATGGGTAGAACATGATTCAAACTGACAGATATCCTACATCTTAACTTTCTCATTATTTTATCAGCAAGCCAAAACACAAATATAGTCCGCTCACATTGAGCAAATAAATGTAACTATCCTACTCGCGACCTGAAAGTAAGTCTGTTTATGTTGGTTGCTTTGTGTGCGAACGGTGCCTTTCGCTATAAGTTCAGAAGATTATTTCGATACCTCAACGTACGATTTTTTCAGGATGTTAATCCCGCTTAAAATAGACCCCGCATCATCATCAGCAGCAGCTGTAAAAACCGTGTACTTGTCACACAGTGGTTGAAGCTGTCACAGTTCCGTCCATCGATGATTTAGGGAGGTAGCAGCGCATTGGAGGCAGATGATAAACTGGTGCGTAAATACAGATCTGTCAGTGGACTTGTAAGTGGAACGTTGTGAGAGGGGCATTGAAGGCAATAGGTTGGATGCACGGGCGCCACTGAGGTCACAACTTGGCCCAGTCTGACACTGCCTCTAACCATTGATGTGTCCCGTTTCGGAGTCACCACCCAACCAGAAGGCGATGACTAATGGCTATCATACCTCATTGTCAAGTCACTGTTTGAAATCTCCTGGATCGTCTCTACTCTTTGTGTAATTGTGCGAAAAGAGCCTGTCGTGGAAATCGGTCGACTGGTATCCGGAGCACGTGACCAGGTCAGCACAAACTACGGGGTGTGATCAGTCCACCTAACATGGGAATTATTTTTCCCGAAAACCATTCGAATTACTTCAGCATTACTGGTCCGGTGTTCACACCAGACTCGGGCACCACCAGAACAAAATCCGAAAGTCTTTTGACGTCCTAGGCCGCAGCAGTCAGGTTTCTGACCCACGTAATAATATAACATCGCGTCGCAGCATTATAGCCTCGATCATTGACGGATGAGCTGATATCACACCTACGACACAGGTGATTGAGGTTCACGAAAGCTGCACTGACCTTCACAATCTGGATGGAAACATCATCTCTCGCAAGACCACCGGGACTGATGCAGCTTCCTAGGTAGACAAACTTGTCTGTTACCTCAAGCGGCTCACCCGCAAGCATGAGGCTAGGATTCTCGTTTACCCATTCTTGCGGTAGCAATTTACACTTTGCAGGTCTGGACAGCACGTCAACCCGTGAGGCAGAATTATCCAGACTACTTAATATTGTTTGAATTACGACTGTTCCAGAGCCGAGATGAGCTATAGCGTCTGCGTACTCGATATCGGTGAAAGATTGCTCTCAAAGGACTTCCGCCCCACGAGTGTCAGAGGCGGGCAACATACGGCCTACATAATAGCAACAGTGAAACGGCTGTGGTTAGAGCGCAAATTTGCTGATTGGAATGTCCATGGTTCGAATCCGGTCTTTGTATCTGGACGTCTCCTGCCTAGGTTTAGGCAACCCGGCGGTATCCCAGCCCTCGTCCTCCGTCCGGGTGGCACGGCAGCTAAGTACCGAAAGGGTGTTACAGCTGACCGATTATTTCAATGACAGGGTTGAAGAGGAAAGGTCATCATCATCATTGATAGCATGATATCAGTGTTTAACGCCGATGGTTTGCTGCCGTACAACCACGATTTATTTTATATTCAGGATACAGAACTTTGACATCATAAGTACCTCAAATTAGCAAACGCAACCCGGGCCTTGCAGATTCGTCCATTCACCTCCTCTGTCACACTACAATCAGAACTAATACAACTTCCAAGATACGTAAAACGCTCCACAACTTCCAGTGCCTCTCCCTGGATTGTAAGTGATGTGTTCAGTGACTGCATGTCCATTGAGCATAATCTTACATTTTGTGGGTGCAGGGTGTATACCAAAGGATGGATGAATCTGGTCAATTCACTCAAAAACACTTGCGCCTTCTCCTCTTCGAAGACGAGAACGATGTCGTCTGCATAATCCAGATCGATAAGGTTTTCGTAAAAGAGGTTTGGAGACTTTCCAGCGTTCGTACAATGATTTCATCGATCACGAAGTTAAATAGGAATGGAGAGTGGACATCCATGACGGACACCGCTTTGTGTACGGAAGCTCTTGAGGAGCCCTCCGTGTATAATCACACGTCCGGAAGTCTGAGAATACAAAAAGTTTATTACGTTCACGAACTTCCGGAGCATTCCTTAGTGGGCAAGCGTGTCAAGAAGAACAGACCGATCAATTGAGTCGAATGCGTCTTGGGAATCCAGGAATTATGGTTAACTTATACGTATGACGTTGTTCTAGCGCCTAAAGGAGTGTGAAGATTTGATCAAGACAATCCCTACCAGGCCGGAATCCCGCATGCTGTCCTCTAGTCAGTGTTTCACGAGCCACCCGTAAGTGATGGCAATGTGATCGATTTGAGTTTATGGCGTTGGAATCATTGGTTCCGAACCTTCCAAATGTTTCTGGGCACTTTCGAATCGCCCAGTCTAAAAAAACTCAAAGCCTTCATCCATTTTGTGGATGCATGTTTAGTAAATTACATCGCTGACTGTTCCCGTTACTAATTCGCTATCAGTACGTTCGTCCTAGCAACACAATTTATGCTCGTCATCTTCTATAAACTGGCAAACAAGACACTAGTCAAAATGTCGATTAGTTCGTTCGGAGGCTTAAATCCTTGGCCAAAAATTGTGACTCCAAAGCGGTGTCCGCCACTGACCGCCAAAACGAAAGTGTATGCGATGCTCTGATCAATGAACTTCAGTCTTCTGCCATTATAGAAAGACTTCTGGCTTGAAACGAACTCACTCTCGATGAAGCACACTAATCGGCTAGGGCATCAGAATTGGCCCACAAGCAAGCTCAGTTATACTGGCGTAACCAGTCGATATCATTTTCTGCGGCTTCAACACCCTTACAGACATCTACGGTGACCCCTTCACATCCAATCTCCCCTGATTCCACACCTTATTTCTCATCAATCAATTCTCAGGTATGTTATTTTTGCGGTCGTTCTAGGCATCCACGATCCAAATGTCCCGCAAGAGAAGCAGTTGGTAAATCATGTGGCAAAACAGGCCATTTTCAGTGTCTGTCGAACCAAATCTGTCAAAAATCACTCTAACTGCATGAGAGATTCTGCCTTATCTTCCATGTTGACTGCTACAGCCCCGAACTGACTGTCTCGCACGGTGACCAGCATAAAAGTAAACGAAACATCACTTCAGGCCCTCACAGAAACAGGAAGTTCGAGCAGTCATGTCTCCTTTGGTAGTTCGTACTCATGGCTGGAAGATGTATGCTAGCGATCCTGTGATTACCGTGACATCTACCTCTCTGACGTGCTTGACTAACGCACGCATCTATCAATTACAGGGGTGCTGTTCACAAAAAGAAATCAAACTATTGGTACTACCCTATCTATGAGCTGACGTGCTGCTAGGCCACGACTTCCTTGGTCTACAAAGTTGAACTCACATTTGGTGGGAACCGAGGTCCATTCAACCTCTACGGTTTAACTGCTGATACGGTCGAATCACCTCTTTTTGCTAAACTCCCACCAGATTGCAAGCCTATCGCCACGAAATTACGGCGTTATAACTCTGACGATAAACGGTTCATCCGCTTTAAAATTAACCGACTATTGAATGAAGGTATAGTCGAACCTTCGAATTCTCCCTGGAGGACCCAAGAGCTGGTCACGAAAAACGCAAACCACAAAAGACGCGTGTTGGTGGACTAC